ACTGGACCATTCAAAGCCCTGTCGGGAAAACTGACCCAATCTTAAAATCTTTCTTATTGCTTTACAAAAATATTTAGTTGTAATATCCATCATAAATTCTTTTTAGATTCCATGTAAAAAGATATGTACTGGTAGGTACCTATCATTCATAGCAGACGGGCAGTTTAAATATAATTAAATATACAATATTTAATATTCTGTTGTTAAGCAAGGGATTGTTAATCAGGAACCTGAATTTACAATCTTTTTGTCACAATTGTTAAGAAAATCGCTGCAGTTGTTATGTGAACCACATAATTGTTAAGTGAATCCAGCATCCCCCATTGACTTTGCTTGTCAGAAGCCAGCTGGGAAGGTCACAAATGGTGGATCACATTATCCTGGGATGCTGTATCCCCCAGTTGCCAAATGCCCAAATGTTGATCATGTGACTATAGAGATGTTGTAATGAGGATTGTTGTGTGAGGACTGGATGTAAATCACTTTTTTTTAGTGCTGTAATAACTTTGAACAGTCAGTAAATGAATGGTTGTATGTCAAGGACTACTCTATAATCAAATTCTTCCAGAATATAATTGAAGATTGAAGTCCTATTGCCTATAGCAAGGGGCAATAGCTAACTAAACCTGGCTGATGAACAGCTAAACAAAGTTTGATCTGATTAGTAATTGGATGGAAAAAACAATACCAGGCGTGTGGATGGAATAGAATTAAAAAAAAAATCAATGGCAAACAACTTTTGTATCTTTGCAACCTTTGATGTCCACCCTGCAAACATACTAATGAAATCAGACACTTTCCTATAAATTAATTAGAAAGGAAAAAAAACTTGACTCATGAGAGATAAAATAAAAATATCTGCATATAAAATTACTTGAAATAATTTGCCACTATCTTTGAAAAATATCCATCAACCCCAGATAATTATTTTATACTAATCTTGTGTAAATCTTGAAAAATATATCTCTGGATTGAATTCTAGCAAAAGTGATAAATATCTGCAAAGACATATTATCAGTCTAGAATAATGAACAGGTATGAATTGTGATAGCTAGTATTCTTAGTTGTTAGAAAGTATTAAACATATATTTTAACTAAAAGAAATAGTGTGATCAACAGATGACAAATGTAAAATATAACTGAAAAGAGTATTATTGGAGCAAAAAAGGTTTTCTTGAAGTGACTACTTCACATTTTTTGTCAAAATCAACTAGTTTTAACATGCCCAAGATTTAAAGTATGTGACTTCAAAAGAGATTCTTCTTAGACAAGTTACTTTCTAAGCATGCCAAGTTACTTTAAAGAAAATGCTGCACAATCATCTGAAGAACTAAGATCAGTTATTGTAAGTTCTCATATAGTTCAACTGTGTTTTGATTCACATTCATCCTACACTGCTTTTAGGTCACTATAATCCACAAAGACCAAGTTAGCAAGGAAATTCACATCTAAATTCACTTCAAGAATATTTTCTTTGATCTTTCTGTAATTACAACTTCAGTTTCCAGTCTCTCATTTGAAAAAAAAATGTAAAAAAACTTGTAATTCCAACTTAGAAATACTAATTGTAAATGGATTGATGAGAAACTAAGTTAAGCTAAGCTTATCAATATAAATGAAATTGCAACTGGCCCTGGTTACTGTTAATAAAGAGGGGGAATCAGACAAATAATTCTGCTACTTTATGCAACTTATCACTAAACAAATGAGGGTCATTGTTTGCAATGCGTGATTTATTAATCTTTTTCAAGCAGCTGAAAAATCAGTGCTTGACTATATCTTAATAGCCAAAAAATACAATTTCTGAAAACAACATTCATTTCATTAATAAAACCTTGCAACATACTTAAGTTACTATAAATTTTAAAAATACTTAAAGCATTATGGATCAGTCTAATAAAAATCCACTATGTGGATTTACTCCCTAAAATGGCATCTGGTTTCTTCTTGAAAAGTGCATATGATTTAATTATGAGAATTATTAACAAACATCAACTTGTTAAATTTTAACTAGAAACATGATGTAATATACACACTTAGAAAACAAAAATTGTTCCTGGAATATAATCTGAATTTTAAAAGTTTCAGAAATGAATTCATCCATAGATCAATTTTTATTATTAAATATAATAATTTAATTTAATGTTTCATTATATCAACAAAAATTATAAAAGTCCAGAGTATTTAAGTTTTCAAATTCTTACTATTACTCAATAATCTGAAACTTTAATCAAAAGTGTTCTTGCAACATAAGCACTAAAGGTTCTAATATGAGTACTTCAAATTTCAGCATACATCACCTGAGCCCTTTCTTCAACACAATATACAAATTGAAAATGCAGATAGAACACTTTTTTGTGCCTTCAAATCAGTGTTAAGTCTTAGTTACTGCCTGAACTAAACAATTGTAACAATTGTTTCTGAATACAAAGAATTGCAAAGATTAATTGTTGTTAGTTGCGAAGTTGTGTCCGACCCATCACGACCCCATGGACAACATTCCTCCAGGCCTTCCTGTCCTCTACCATCTACAATTAGTATATATAGGTGGCCCTTGCTTACCCATCACTTATGCAGCAACAGTTCAAAATTACAATGTTGCTGAATGAGTGGCTCTTTTATGATCAGCCCTCAAAGTTCTGAATGTTTAAACATCAGGGCATTCACCAACTAGTTCTTAATTACACCATTGCAGAATCTTATGACCACATGATCACCATTTACAACTTTCACTGGCTATCTTCCAATAAGCAAAATCAATGAGGAAGCCAGTAGGAGGTCGCAAATGACCAAGATCACGTGAAGTATTAATACCACTTTATAATGCCTTGGTAAGGCCACACTTGGAATACTGTATCCAGTTTTGATCACCACGATGTAAAAAAGATGTTGAGACTCTAGAAAGAGTACAGAGAAGAGCAACAAAGATGATTAGGGGACTGGAGGCTAAAACATATAAGGAACGGTTGCTGGAATTGGGTATGTCTAGTCTAATGAAGAGAAGGACGAGGGGGGACATGATATAGCAGTATTCCAATATCTCAGGGGCTGCCACAAAGAAGAGGGAGTCAGACTATTCTCCAAAGCGTCTGAAGGCAGGACAAGAAGCAACAGGTGGAAACTAACCAAAGAGAGAAGCAACCTAGAACTAAGGAGAAACTTCCTGACAGTGAGAACAATTAACCAGTGGAACAACCTGCCTCCAGAAGCGGTGAATGCACCAACACTGGAAGTTTTTAAGAAGAAACTGGACAGCCATTTGTCCAAAATGGTATAGGGTTTCCTGCCTGAGCAGGAGGTTGGACTAGATGACCTCCAAGGTCCCTTCCAACTTTATCATTATTATTATATGATATCACACTTTACAACCTCACCATTTAGTGATGGAATTTCCAGTACTGATTACTACTGATACTAGGACTACCTGTACTACATTCTTTATGTATTTAAGAGCAGTATTAAAATACCTTAAAATAACCAAATATACTCTGAGACATTTTGAATAGGGGATGATGAGTTGTCAGTCAACTAACAATTTTCTAGAATACCGATAATATCCTTTTTTTAAAAGGATTTAGCTGCCTGATAAGAGGAAAAAGCCTAGAAGTGAAAGTGATTTTTTTAAATCCAGAATTGACTTGTTCTTGTGATTTAAAAAAAAATTAAAGTACTTGAATTAGAAGTGTGATTATGTGTTGATAATCTCTCAGGATAGTAAAACAACATACCTATAAAGCTTTCTTCTCTATTAAATTAAAACTTCCTATTTCAGTTCTTGTATTTCTATGATTAAACTAGCTAAAAACAGAAAGAGACTAATTTGACATTTTTAACAAAAGATCTAGGTTAGGGAGCAATTTAATTAAGAAGGGACTGCCATTCAAATTCAGAAATACTATTCATGAAAACAAATCTAATTGATACAAAGGTGCACCTTTGTGGAACCCTATCTTTTCCACTACTGCAAACAATACCATACTGAACATTAAGTGCTAAAAAGTTTGACATACAGGAGGTGGATATCAGAAATCCTAATATATTCCACTGAATCACTCTCCCATAACACTTGCAATGTAATGATAACATGTTCCCTTTGGGCAAACATGTGTTTACAAACATGGACATTTCATTAGAAGTGACTTCAGAACTCTTACATTCATTGGCAAACTTAGTGTAAATCCTTTGGGGTATGCCAGGATTAGCCTTCCAATCTTATGTGATTAAATTATTAGTTTCTGATTACATATATAAAGCATTTAAAAGCAGTGTGTGAGAGGGAAGAAAGGGAAATAGAAAGAGAGATAATTTTTTCCAGAGAGAAAAATGTTGCCACTTAATTAATAAAACACATCTTGGAAAGCTACAAATAAATGAAATCAATTACAAAGTGTGCGCACCAATTGTTACATTACTGATGCTACAAACATTTCTGGACCATATGAAGGGGTTCCTTTTTACTTTCAAAAGAGTAAATAAATATGTCCACATTTATTACTATGACTATTATGTACCAAAAAGAGGAATGCATTTTGCATCATGAAAAGAATTTCCTTCTATTCAAGAACATAATGGGCTATCCACTTGATTTTATGCTCTCTTTTTTCTAAATTCACTCCAGAATCTATATATAACCATGCGTAATATAAACCTTAATAGAGTGAATTATCATTGGTATTAAATTTAAAGCAACTATATCCTAGAATTCCAGAAATTTTTCATTAAAGCACAAACAATATAATACAACAAACTGCATTGCAGTGGGATGGAAGAGAAGCTGTCTTACTGGACAGGACTACCTAAGTAAAATAAGGTTTTCTTTTCAGGCTTTAGCTACTGTGTTTCCCTGAAAGTAAGACTCAGCCCGATAGTAAGCCCTAGCTTGATTTTTGGGGGTGAAACTAAGCCCTAGTTTTGGGGCGAAGCGCACCCCTAAAAATCAAACTAGGGTGAGGGTAGGGGTGGTGAACCTGCCCCACATGCCCTGCACCCACTTACCTTACCGATAGGCCCACCACAGCCAGGCCTCCCATACCCTGACACCTGTCTCGCTGCTGCTTGACTTCTGCGGTCGCTTGCCGCCACTCGCAGCAGGATGCCACATGGTGCTTTGGGCCGCTTCTGCTGCTAGCGGCAAAGAGCCGCACCGCACAGCGTTTCAGGACGCTTTTGCTGTTCGCATGCTTTGGGTTGCTTCTGCTGCTCACACAGCGCTTTGGGCTGTTTGTGCTGCTCGCGCAACGCTTCAGATCGCTTCTGCTACTCACTACAGGAGGCCATGTGGCGCTTCGGGCTGTTTCTGCTGCTCTGTGAGCAGTGGAAATGGCCCAAAGGGCCACATGGCCTCCTGCCATGAGCAGCAGAAGCGTCCCGAAGCGCTGTGCGGCTTCTTGCTGCTAGCAGCAGAAGCAGCCCAAAGCACCATGCGGCATCCTGTTACGAACAGTGGCAACAGCGCAATGTGCCATATGGCATCCGGCCACAAATGGTGGCAAGCATCTGCAGTAGTCAAACAGCGGTGCAACAGGTGTCGGGATGTGGGAGGCCTGGTTGTGGTGGTCCTAAGATAAGACATCCTCCCAAAAAAAATTTGGAGGCAAAAAAAAAAAATAAGACCAGGTCTTGTTTTCAGAGAAACACGGTAATTCTAATAATTATTATATATCACTTGTATATTGTACAGTTATTGCTATACTAACTTTTGTGTTTGTGATTTAAAAAAGATGAAAAAATAGAATCATTTACAATTTAACTCTATTATATTTGTACTAATAAATAATAATAATAATAATAATAATAATAATAATAATAATAATAATAATAATAAAGTTGGAAGGGACCTTGGAGGTCATCTAGTCCAACCCCCTGCTCAGGCAGGAAACCCTATACCATTTCGGACAAATGGCTGTCCAGTCTCTTCTTAAAAACTTCCAGTGTTGGAGCATTCACCGCTTCTGGAGGCAGATTGTTCCATTGGTTAATTGTTCTAACTGTCAGGAAGTTTCTCCTTAGTTCTAAGTTGCTTCTCTCCTTGATTAGTTTCCACCCGTTGCTTCTTGTCCTGCCTTCAGGCGCCTTGGAAAATAGCTTGACTCCCTCTTCTTTGTGGCAGCCCCTGAGATATTGGAATACTGTTATCATGTCCCCCCTCATCCTTCTCTTCGTTAAACTAGACATACCCAATTCCAGCAACCGTTCCTTATATGTTTTAACCTCCAGTCCCCTAATCATCTTTGTTGCTCTTCTCTGTACTCTTTCTAGAGTCTCAACATCTTTTTTACATCATGGTGACCAAAACTGGATGCAGTATTCCAAGTGTGGCCTTACCAAGGCATTGTAAAGGGACATATTTTTATTAACTATAGGAAAAACTGAATACATGATATACTTTTACCTATTTTTCCAAACTTAAAAATTCAATCAGAATTTATTCAGGTAATGTCTTCTGCATAAGCTGGCAAAGTTCATAGCACCAACTGATACTTTCTAGCCAAAAAAACTCTCCACTTTAGATTCAACTCTGAGTAGAACCCAAGGTTTTTACTTTTTAGCATGGATCCATTTAATATACACAAACGTTTAATTTGCTCTAACTTAACTGCTCTGAGATATACTTTTGAAGGAATCTTGTAAGTAGACTGTTTAATCCACATGGGAGAAAGTATAAAATTTCTTCCATTATTATATGAATATCAATTGTCCAACTATTGAGGGTGAAGTAATATGATAGCACAATTATACACAGAATCATAAAATCACATGACCATGACAGACTTGTGATATCACTTCCCATTCAGTTATTAGATAAGACTGCAATCACTAAGCAAAACACATCATGTGACCACAACTTGCAATTTTACTTCCATGATCTAGATTAATTCTGCTTGTCATGAGCCAGTAGGGAAGCATGCTAATGGAAATTATATAACTGCAGGACACTGTGTTGGTTATAAACACAAGGACTGGGTTGCAAAGAAAGGGGTTTTTTTACACCATTGTATCTTCAAATAGTCACTAAATAAAGCAATCAATAAGCAAGGAGTACCTGTACAGAAGATCAGGGACAGTGAGGGGGCAGGGCGCCACATTGAAGAAGTTTGGGTCAAAGGCAGGTTTAACTGCATCTAACTAGATTACTTCCTAATGGGTGGAAACAAATAAAAATATCTTACAATTACTAAGCATAATTTATGTCAGTTTATTAGCAACTTAAGAATTCTAATCATCATCAGTTCCTTTTGCAAGACACGCATAGGACAGCAAGTTTCTTCCAATGGATCATATTCATGGCAGCATCTTCAACATCTTCCAATTTGATGTCTACTGTCCATAAGTCAATTTTTAACTTCTGATGCCAATTTTATGTGGTCTACCTGTCCACTTTCCCTCCCATTGTACAGCATTTTTCAGATACTGATGTTCTGGCAAGCGAAGAATATGGCCAGCTAGACCCATTTGACATTTTGTCACATAAGCAAACTTCCTGGATCCACTCCACTGCAAAATTTCCTCATTTGTAACACAGTTGCACAAAGTGACACCCAGAATTCTCTGTAGGCAAAGTACAACAATTGTCTTTTAAAACTGTAACTTGGTCTTCTTATCTATTTTTGGAGCTGACCAGATAGATTGTAGACTCTGGAATATTGCTGAGGCTTTACCAATTCTGTATTTAACAACTGCATCTATGCTGCCATCTTGTGATGTGATGTTACTGAACTATGTAAACCTTTGGACATGTTATATTGGCTGTTGGCTAGTTGTGTTAAAAAATCCTGGAGAATTGGGAAACTACCAGATGACTGGAAAAGGGCTGGTGTAGTTCCCACCTTCCAAAAAAGGGGAAAAATGGATCCAGAAAACTACAGACCTATCAATCTGACATCAGTACCTGGGACGATTCTGGAAAAGATAATCAAGCAATGAATCTGTAAACACATAGAGGCAAACAAAGTCATAACCAGAAGCCAAGATAGGTTTGTTAAAAACACAACATGCCAGACTAATTTTATTGCACTCTTTGACAAAGTGACAAAATTAGCGGACAGCGAAATGCTGTAGATATAATTTACTTGGATTTCAATGACGCATTTGATAAAGCAAACCATAACTACTAGTCGATAAGAAAAAAATTGGGTTAGATAATATCACCACCAGATGGACTTGTAACTGGCTGACCAGTTGCATTCAGAGTGTAGACCTTAATGGAACTGCATCTACATGGAAGGAACCATGCAGTGGGATACCGCAAGGATATGTCATAGGCCCAGTACTCTTCAATATTTTCTTCAGTGATTTAGACAAGGGGATAGAAGAGGAACTCATCAAATTTACAGATGACACCAAGTTGGCAGGAATAGCCAACATTCAGAAGATAGGCTTAAGATACAGAAGGATTTTGATAGACTTGAATACTGGGCCCTACTTAACAAAATATAACTCAATGGTGAGAAAACTAATGTTCTACATTTAGGCAAGAAAAATCAAATGCACAAGTATAGAATAGGTCAGTGATGGTGAACCTTTTAGATGACACCGAGTGCCCAAAAATTGCCCCTTCCCCGCACCGCCCCACCCCTGCTCCATCCCTGCCCCGCCCCCACCCACCCGCAGGGCCACCCACCACCTCCACGGCCTGCCGCAGATTGCCCAGGTGGCCCAGTAGCGCCATGGCAGCCACGCCCTCCACCCATGCCCCGCAGCATCATCTGTTTGTGGCGCAAGGGTGGAGTCTTGTCCCCACTGCCCGACTGCCACGTCCTTGGCTGCGTTGTTACAGGCAGGCCGTGCCTGGGGATGACTCTCCTCCAGGGGGGCTGTTAGTGTGGAGGGACCTGTGGGGGGAGGCGGAGCTGGGACGACAGCACGTGTGCCCACAGAGAGGGCTCCGAGTGCTGCCTCTGGCACTTGTGCCATAGGTTCGCCATTGGAATAGGTTATCTGTTTTATTTATATTTCAAATGAAGTTTTAACTTAAATTCTCATTTAATTTGAGTTAACTACTAGACAACCTTTGGAACATTGTTTCAAGATATTTCATTACCAGATTCTTCAATGCCTTCAACAATGTTATAGTTTCTTTTCTTTTTGAAACAAATTTTATTGGTTTTTTAATTCTTAGAACAAAGTACTCAAGACACACCATGGTGCTGGGGTAATCAAACATCCAAAAATAAAACCATATATGAATAACTCAAATCAATACATCAAATATTCCCTCTCTATTTCCCTCAAATAGCTTAATATATTTAAGATAATCCATTTCTAATTTAAATTTCTATTAATCCTAAACCTGTTTTGGAGCTTTATGAATTTACAATTACCATAATCAAGTTTAACTTTAAATAAACACATTATCAATTCAGGTATCCCTTCCAGGTATATTCTAGTTCCTGAATTTTATCATAAGTCTTGTTTATTTCTTCTTCCACTAATATCACCTAATTAAAATAAAATATTGGTCTATCCTAATCATATCTAATCCATCAATCAATCAATCTCTTTAAGATAACAAGATAATATCAAACCTTAAATCATTTCAATCCATTGGACGAGATTCAAATTTCATCCCGTTAATTATACCTAATAACATCCATATTATCAAACAAAAACATCATCTTATTAAATTAACATTCAATTAAATATTAGATCAATCCAGATCTAAAACACCTCTTCAATTTTCTTCATTCCATTACATAATAGTTTTCATACAAATAAACCTATTATTCCAAAGAACACATTCTTAATCTATTTAATATATATATTCTAATAATCACCCATTTTTCTCTTACTTCTAACTCAAAATCTTATTTTCCGATATAAATTTTTTATTATTTTCCAAAAAAAAACAAAAAAAAAAAACCATCACAAGTATTACACAATATTATATTATATCCCACCCCCCCGGACTTCCCAAACCAAGTCCCAGGCTAATATTCAAATATAGGTAAACAAATATTAATATCTCTAACTCCACAAACTCTATTTATAAACAATCCATCTCCTCCACATTAATAAAAAAAATTATACATTTAAGTAGTTCAAATACACCAAAGTCTATA